TTTAAAGACAAAGATAGCCGAACTATCGAAGTACCGGACTAATTTCCCCACATAATGTGACGTTTAAAAACAATTAAACAACAAACACTAAAGATAATAAGTAAATTTTCGGATTATGTCGGAGAATCGAATTAGTAGCTTTCGAGCCAAAATCCCGCCACTCTGATATACACATCTGAACGGTCTATCACCTAAGAATAGTATTTTTCTTGTACGTTAAAGACACAGCATACAAATTAAACACGAATTTCAATTCTCCACTAATAGCTTCCACAAAAAAACTCGATAGACCTCCTCGACACCACCAGGATGGCTGAATCACTCCCACCATCAGGATCATCCATCTTCCCCGGTTGTGTGAATGGAAGAGAACGGCTACTCCTAGAGTTCACACACGGTAATTACAACTTCGGGTCGACGAACTCCCGCCTTATCACAAGAACTCCCGCCAAGCCGCCATCTTTGTTTACAACCGGCGTAAGTGTTCAATGAACTTGTGTCTTGCCGCGCCGCAACGCTACAGGGGGCGATTGTTATTGTTATTGCTGTGAGGTGGAGAAGCACTGCCTCAATAACTCTTATATATTATCTGGTGTTAAATGTATTATTTCCAAGAAAATATGATTGAACATTGATTTTAACTTTTAAAATTAATTAGGACAAACAGAATTTGGAAGGAGAGTGTTATGAAAAAGCTGGCACCATGCACGTAATCTCGTACTTCAACAGTTTCAACTGGTGGGGCGTGTACATAATGGACGAAATCATCATTACACAAGGGTTTATGTTTATTAGAACTTGTGCACAATTTAATTCCGTGAAATTTAAACTCGAGTCATAAAGGTATAAGTGTATTGATACAGCAAGGATGGGACATATTTTATATAGTTCTATTGATTCAAACTGATCTTTCAGACACCTATGCACACTACTAACTATAATGCATATCTTGACTAATTCAAGCAAATACCGAGTTTATACAGCAAAATCCTACATTCAAACAGATTTCTGGTGTTCAATTACAAATATTAAATTCTACTCAGGCTCTCTATATGGAACAAAAACGGTTAATTTATCTGAATATTTCCATGAATAGAAAAAAATAAATACAATGGCCTGAAGATGTTGTAAGTAGAATTAATTTTACCAGACGATGATGTCAAATTACGAGAAACTTGCAGAAGATGGTTTAGTCAATGGTTATACTGTCACCAAGCTTGAACGTATACAGCATTGTGAAATGTGCTATGTATTTAATATATATATATGTATAATATATGTATATGTAATATATGTATATATATGTAGTATGTATGTATTTAATTTGTACATTCGTGTGTGGTCCGATATCAGCTGATTAGTGATAACACAGGTGTATAGCTGGAGGTATTCCCCGGGTCAACGACCTCACCGTGACGTGCGCAGTCGCATGACACACTTGTGGGGATACTGCGCAGTACCTGCTGCGGGATAGCCAGGGATAAACAGGGATAAGTGGGATACACGAACTGTGAGGTATTCCTAAGGGATACACGATATTCCTGAAAACCTATGGCAGTTACACTGAGCAAAATAACTGGATCGTTCTAGAAATAGAAGCAGATTTAACGAAGGAATGCGCGCAGGGGAAAGTGGGATTTCACAAACTGAGAGATAAAACTGAATTTGTGGAACACTTTGCGTATCATATAGAATAAGAAGATTTCTTAAGATAGAATAAGAAGCCACGTCTTGTTGTGTCATGTTGATAACATACAGATTACGATTAACAAATGGTGATAAACTATCCTAGGCGTGATATCAGAGCTCATATTTATGTTTTATTTTTATTCTCCAAGCACAAGGGATTTAATAATCAAGCAAAGCATTCTAGTTTCGTGTTCAAGATTAGTGGCTCTATTCTGTGTGTGTAAAATTCTCTTCAAAATTGATACATTTACTATCTAGCCGGAAATTATTTTCAATACGTCGGTCTAAAGTTATTCGGAACATTTAGGTAGTTGGGTAGTGAGTGATCACTTCATACAGAATGCTAAGTTTTGATAATGAATATTTTACTCCTAAGCAATTAAAAGAAACGATCAAACAGTTAAAAAGTTTTAAAACTTTAAACGAAGTCTTCAGTTCCGCAACGCCATAAATAAACCTCAACACCGAGTCAATAGTCATACATAATGCCCCGGATGTGAGTGTGACATAGGCCTACTGACTTCATTCAAGGACAAGTCTTGTATGTTGTATGTTACACTCAAGGTAGTGCTTTGTTCTGATTGTACCAAGCCATACGGATCATTAGGTTGGACCAAAACAACTATAATTATTTCTTGCGAATGATTCTATTATGATATATCAGTGTCTAGCGTTTATACGAACACTAAAATGGTATGCCGGACCATAGTTCTAGGTGTCTGGCTGACGCATGCGTAGTAACGAATTTGCATTTAATCATATGTTAGCCCAAGTTTTGACAGATGGGGAATTAACACAGCAAATTAATGCGCATGCGTCAGCCAGACGCCTAGAACTGTGGTCCGGCCTATATCTGAATGGTTACCCTAGGTAGCCGAGTCGAGGTGTTCGCCTAGTAATCACAATTTTACCGGTTCAATCCTTTCCGAACACAAACGTGCATCTTGTTCGTACCATTAGACAAGTGCTTAGTTCGAAACGCCTCCGAGCTGGAATTGATCATTGGGTTTTTAATAAAATGGTCCTAGCTAGTGAACAAGTCGTTTGACTACAATACAAGGCAACTCAAGGCGTTCTACACTCATGTCCCTCCCATTTGGGACACCTAGGTGGCATACCTATTGTAATTGGTAATACAAAAAATAATGGGTACTAGGGCAGATTGTGTATATCTATAGTATTCCGATGCCGTATTAAATTAACATTTCTGGAAATATGTGTTAAATGTTCGACTGTGAATGGTCCAGTCCAACACGCTACCTTGTTGTGCTCTGAGATGTTATATGAAGTGTTTAGTATAAAATATTCTATATATACTGTGTTTCCCAAAAGTAATGTTACACTTTTATTTGTTCATAACTACAGTATTCATATGACAGGTTAGGTTAGGCTACGATACGTTAGGTTAGGTTAATGATTATGTATTGTAGACTTTGGAACATTAAATTCTAAGTCACTCTTTCTCACGGTGTTTTTTATTACACCACGTGGAGTTGGACATGTGCCGCGAGGGATCCCTAAAGTGACCACCGCACGGAGTTGGAAATTCGGGTTTGACAGATTTCTGACCACCACAAGCCCAAACGGATTGTCAATAGAAAAATATAGTAATTGTGATACAAATATTGTGTATTTTGATTTTTTTTTTTAAAGAACTATTTCCAGAAGTAAGAATAGAACCGACGACCTGACATTATGAATCGATAAAAACGTTATATCGCAATAAGCTCATCTCAAAAGCACCCCCAAAACTTGTATAATCGCTGAGTAAACAATCATTCGTATGTTAATCTGACTATAAAGCGACCGAACCACGACTGATAACCTGCGCAGTTTGATACCCATGACAAAAACAGTTCTGAGAATGAAACAAAGCCTCAAAGCGTCCAAGGTTGGTCGTTTAATACCTTCTGCGTGCGTATTGCAGTCTTCAACCGTCACAGAGCCGCGGGCCTATACAAAAGCTACGACGCGAAATATAATCAATTATCACCACTCACAATTTGAATTCACTACGCTTATTGTTTTACAAATAGATGATAAGGCATTTCAGCCGTTATAGCTGCACCTCAAAACACTTGCCGGTTTGATTCACCATGATTTTAGCCCAATACCGCATATGTGTTCATCCCTTCTAGCGGATTACCCCTGTTAGGAAGAGCTACTTACTACTTTACAGACACGGTCAGACATATTTCATCAAAACCAAGGTGTATAGCTTGAAAAAACCTAATAATTTAGGATACTTATTGAAGCGTTGTTGAACAATTAAATGTCACAGAGAAAATGTCAACAATATTATTACATTTACACTTCCTTATATTATTCTCATAGAGAGTTAATGTCGTAGTTTATCAATATATTTTAATCCAATTCAGGAAAAAAATTCATAATATAAACATTTTATAAAAATGCTAGAAGAGTACCCGTCCTTCGTACGGGGTTGGCAAATAAGTATGAAATGCTTATTATAGTTATACCCGATCTTTGCGTTTGCGATGTGAGAAAACACGGTTTGAGAAAATTTGCTTCCTCAAATTTACGGTATGCGATAGTATTAAACATCTACCATAGCCAAAATGTTCTACTACTTCACCTACACAATAGAGAAAGATAGATTTTTAAAAATTCGCAAACTATCATAAATTATTAATGAAATTAAAAACATAAACATAACTGTAAACAATCCTACTTTGACAGTTCTCATTGCGTATCACAGTTTATTGTTGCTGCTTGGATCAAGTTAGCTGTTTTCATAAATACAGTAATGAAAAAAATAATAGTGCTGCACCCTGTTGGTAAATCTTATAAATTTTTAATGCTTTTGCATATCATAGAACCAACTCTTTTAGTTGAAACAGCTGGCTAAATTCTTTAATTCTCTTTAAATATGAATACTCATAAGGTTAACATGGAGAACTGCAGAGCCACTGGGGCCGAGCCCAAAAGGATTTTTGAGATAAGAATATGCCTATATGTTAATCGGGAATGTGAGCTATCATCATGCCAAATTTCAGCCCAATCCGACCAGTATTTTTCGTGTTTACTTGTCACAAACATACATACATCCATACATCCAAACTTTCTCATTTATAATATTAGTAGGATCACTTTTTTGTCATCTGTTGCAGCAAATTCATTAATCATATAACCTACAGTATAGGGAATAAATCTGGCACATTAAAGTAAGATATTTTTTTAAAGAATCCAATCAGACAAATACAAATTGACTTAATCTGCAGGTTTGCTATAGCTAGGGTATAACCTATAATTTATTTAAATGTCAAAACCTGATGGTGATGTTTACTGACCTCTTTATCGTTGTTTTCCTTCTCCTCGGGACTGTGAGCCAAGTCTCCAATAGACGCCGAGACACTAGGCAACCGCTCGTAAGATGCGGCCGCCGCCTGCACACAGGCACACTTCATCCTCATGCCCGACCCAGCGCAACCTACAACAACACAGCAACATGAGCTGTCACCAACAACATGTCAACATAGACGCCGAGACACTAGGCAACCGCTCGTAAGATGCGGCCGCCGCCTGTACACAGGCACACTTCATCCTCATGCCCGACCCAGCGCAACCTACAACAACACAGCAACATGAGCTAACTGTCACCAACAACATGTCAACATAGCCACCGAGACACTAGGCAACCGCTCGTAAGATGCGGCCGCCGCCTGTACACAGGCACACTTCATCCTCATGCCCGACCCAGCGCAACCTACAACAACACAGCAACATGAGCTAACTGTCACCAACAACATGTCAACATAGCCACCGAGACACTAGGCAACCGCTCGTAAGATGCGGCCGCCGCCTGTACACAGGCACACTTCATCCTCATGCCCGACCCAGCGCAACCTACAACAACACAGCAACATGAGCTAACTGTCACCAACAACATGTCAACATAGCCACCGAGACACTAGGCAACCGCTCGTAAGATGCGGCCGCCGCCTGTACACAGGCACACTTCATCCTCATGCCCGACCCAGCGCAACCTACAACAACACAGCAACATGAGCTAACTGTCACCAACAACATGTCAACATAGCCACCGAGACACTAGGCAACCGCTCGTAAGATGCGGCCGCCGCCTGTACACAGGCACACTTCATCCTCATGCCCGACCCAGCGCAACCTACAACAACACAGCAACATGAGCTAACTGTCACCAACAACATGTCAACATAGCCACCGAGACACTAGGCAACCGCTCGTAAGATGCGGCCGCCGCCTGCACACAGGCACACTTCATCCTCATGCCCGACCCAGCGCAACCTACAACAACACAGGAACATGAACTAACTGTCACCAACAACATGTCAACATAGACGCCGAGACACTAGGCAACCGCTCGTAAGATGCGGCCGCCGCCTGCACACAGGCACACTTCATCCTCATGCCCGACCCAGCGCAACCTACAACAACACAGCAACATGAGCTGTCACCAACAACATGTCAACATAGACACCGAGACACTAGGCAACCGCTCGTAAGATGCGGCCGCCGCCTGCACACAGGCACACTTCATCCTCATGCCCGACCCAGCGCAACCTACAACAACACAGCAACATGAGCTGTCACCAACAACATGTCAACATAGACGCCGAGACACTAGGCAACCGCTCGTAAGATGCGGCCGCCGCCTGCACACAGGCACACTTCATCCTCATGCCCGACCCAGCGCAACCTACAACAACACAGCAACATGAGCAAACTGTCACCAACAACATGTCAACATAGACGCCGAGACACTAGGCAACCGCTCGTAAGATGCGGCCGCCGCCTGCACACAGGCACACTTCATCCTCATGCCCGACCCAGCGCAACCTACAACAACACAGCAACATGAGCAAACTGTCACCAACAACAAGTCAACATAGACGCCGAGACACTAGGCAACCGCTCGTAAGATGCGGCCGCCGCCTGCACACAGGCACACTTCATCCTCATGCCCGACCCAGCGCAACCTACAACAACACAGCAACATGAGCAAACTGTCACCAACAACATGTCAACACAGACGCCGAGACACTAGGCAACCGCTCGTAAGATGCGGCCGCCGCCTGCACACAGGCACACTTCATCCTCATGCCCGACCCAGCGTAACCTACAACAACACAGCAACATGAGCTAACTGTCACCAACAACATGTCAACATAGACGCCGAGACACTAGGCAACCGCTCGTAAGATGCGGCCGCCGCCTGTACACAGGCACACTTCATCCTCATGCCCGACCCAGCGCAACCTACAACAACACAGCAACATGAGCTAACTGTCACCAACAACATGTCAACATAGACGCCGAGACACTAGGCAACCGCTCGTAAGATGCGGCCGCCGCCTGCACACAGGCACACTTCATCCTCATGCCCGACCCAGCGCAACCTACAACAACACAGCAACATGAACTATCTGTCACCAACAACATGTCAACATAGACGCCGAGACACTAGGCAACCGCTCGTAAGATGCGGCCGCCGCCTGTACACAGGCACACTTCATCCTCATGCCCGACCCAGCGCAACCTACAACAACACAGCAACATGAACTATCTGTCACCAACAACATGTCAACATAGACGCCGAGACACTAGGCAACCGCTCGTAAGATGCGGCCGCCGCCTGTACACAGGCACACTTCATCCTCATGCCCGACCCAGCGCAACCTACAACAACACAGCAACATGAACTAACTGTCACCAACAACATGTCAACATAGACGCCGAGACACTAGGCAACAGCTCGTAAGATGCGGCCGCCGCCTGCACACAGGCACACTTCATCCTCATGCCCGACCCAGCGCAACCTACAACAACACAGCAACATGAGCTGTCACCAACAACATGTCAACATAGACGCAGAGACACTAGGCAACCGCTCGTAAGATGCGGCCGCCGCCTGCACACAGGCGCACTTCATCCTCATGCCCGACCCAGCGCAACCTACAACAACACAGCAACATGAACTGTCACCAACAACATGTCAACATAGACACCGAGACACTAGGGACCGCTCGTAAGATGCGGCCGCCGCCTGTACACAGGCACACTTCATCCTCATGCCCGACCCAGCGCAACCTACAACAACACAGCAACATGAGCTAACTGTCACCAACAATATGTCTACATAGACGCCGAGACACTAGGCAACCGCTCGTAAGATGCGGCCGCCGCCTGCACACAGGCACACTTCATCCTCATGCCCGACCCAGCGCAACCTACAACAACACAGCAACATGAACTAACTGTCACCAACAATATGTCTACATAGACGCCGAGACACTAGGCAACCGCTCGTAAGATGCGGCCGCCGCCTGTACACAGGCACACTTCATCCTCATGCCCGACCCAGCGCAACCTACAACAACACAGCAACATGAACTAACTGTCACCAACAACATGTCAACATAGACGCTGAGACACTAGGCAACCGCTCGTAAGATGCGGCCGCCGCCTGCACACAGGCACACTTCATCCTCATGCCCGACCCAGCGCAACCTACAACAACACAGCAACATGAACTAACTGTCACCAACAATATGTCTACATAGACGCCGAGACACTAGGCAACCGCTCGTAAGATGCGGCCGCCGCCTGCACACAGGCACACTTCATCCTCATGCCCGACCCAGCGCAACCTACAACAACACAGCAACATGAGCTAACTGTCACCAACAACATGTCAACATAGACGCTGAGACACTAGGCAACCGCTCGTAAGATGCGGCCGCCGCCTGCACACAGGCACACTTCATCCTCATGCCCGACCCAGCGCAACCTACAACAACACAGCAACATGAACTAACTGTCACCAACAACATGTCAACATAGACGCTGAGACACTAGGCAACCGCTCGTAAGATGCGGCCGCCGCCTGTACACAGGCACACTTCATCCTCATGCCCGACCCAGCGCAACCTACAACAACACAGCAACATGAGCTAACTGTCACCAACAATATGTCTACATAGACGCCGAGACACTAGGCAACCGCTCGTAAGATGCGGCCGCCGCCTGCACACAGGCACACTTCATCCTCATGCCCGACCCAGCGCAACCTACAACAACACAGCAACATGAACTAACTGTCACCAACAATATGTCTACATAGACGCCGAGACACTAGGCAACCGCTCGTAAGATGCGGCCGCCGCCTGCACACAGGCACACTTCATCCTCATGCCCGACCCAGCGCAACCTACAACAACACAGCAACATGAGCAAACTGTCACCAACAACATGTCAACATAGACGCCGAGACACTAGGCAACCGCTCGTAAGATGCGGCCGCCGCCTGTACACAGGCACACTTCATCCTCATGCCCGACCCAGCGCAACCTACAACAACACAGCAACATGAACTAACTGTCACCAACAACATGTCAACATAGACGCCGAGACACTAGGCAACCGCTCGTAAGATGCGGCCGCCGCCTGTACACAGGCACACTTCATCCTCATGCCCGACCCAGCGCAACCTACAACAACACAACAACATGAACTAACTGTCACCAACAATATGTCTACATAGACGCCGAGACACTAGGCAACCGCTCGTAAGATGCGGCCGCCGCCTGCACACAGGCACACTTCATCCTCATGCCCGACCCAGCGCAACCTACAACAACACAGCAACATGAACTGTCACCAACAACATGTCAACATAGACACCGAGACACTAGGGACCGCTCGTAAGATGCGGCCGCCGCCTGTACACAGGCACACTTCATCCTCATGCCCGACCCAGCGCAACCTACAACAACACAGCAACATGAACTAACTGTCACCTCACCAACGACATGTCTACATAGACGCCGAGACACTAGGCAACCGCTCGTAAGATGCGGCCGCCGCCTGCACACAGGCACACTTCATCCTCATGCCCGACCCAGCGCAACCTACAACAACACAGGAACATGAACTAACTGTCACCAACAACATGTCAACATAGACGCCGAGACACTAGGCAACCGCTCGTAAGATGCGGCCGCCGCCTGCACACAGGCACACTTCATCCTCATGCCCGACCCAGCGCAACCTACAACAACACAGCAACATGAGCTGTCACCAACAACATGTCAACATAGACACCGAGACACTAGGCAACCGCTCGTAAGATGCGGCCGCCGCCTGCACACAGGCACACTTCATCCTCATGCCCGACCCAGCGCAACCTACAACAACACAGCAACATGAGCTGTCACCAACAACATGTCAACATAGACGCCGAGACACTAGGCAACCGCTCGTAAGATGCGGCCGCCGCCTGCACACAGGCACACTTCATCCTCATGCCCGACCCAGCGCAACCTACAACAACACAGCAACATGAGCAAACTGTCACCAACAACATGTCAACATAGACGCCGAGACACTAGGCAACCGCTCGTAAGATGCGGCCGCCGCCTGCACACAGGCACACTTCATCCTCAT